ATATCAGTGATGGAAAATGACAAACCAGTAGAAAACAAAATATAACCACTGAAGAGTGGATTTCTTTTTGCGCTCTTAAAAAGGGAAAACAATTTCTTTTGTTATTAAGAATACTATTTAAGTAAGGCTTTATAACAATACTTCTATCAAAGATGGATGAGATGAATATTTAGTCTATTATGAGGCAAATATATATATAGCCTATCAATACTCTTCACAGAACCTTATAACAAGAGACCATTATTCCTTATTAATCTGATAAGGTGCAGAGACTCAGAAAAGTGTGTAGCCTGTGCTCACATAACCAGTGAGAAACACAAGTGGATTCGAGACCCAGAGCCCAAGGCCCCTCAGCTATTTCATGCTGTTCTTTTTTATTTATTCAACAAAAGTTTAAAGAAGTATAACATTTTACGTTGATTAGGAATCAGCTGGAGAAACAGTGGTGAATGAGACATAGTTCTTATTCACTGGGAATTTATAGTCCTGGAAGAGACAAACAAATGTACTAAGACATTGTAGGGGGAAAAGCATAAAAGAGAGGTCACTAACTCAAAGCTCTCATTACAGTTCTTAAGGAGGGTCGTATTTTCAAAACTGTACTTATGACACCAGGTAGATTTATAAGCTTGCAAACTGTGAACACATCATGGTTTAATTTCACTAGCAGGGCCCTAGCAATCCAATCCCTAAACAGACGTCCAGGGTTGATCTTCAGGGATGTTTCTAAACCTTAACCACTATCTCCAGAGTTCCCAACCCAATATGGTTTTCAGCATGAGAATGAGAAGAAGAATGAGAAATAAAGTAACTGAATGACTTCAAACTCCATCTTAAAACACAAAATCAACTTCCCACTCAGAAATATTTGTTAACTTTCAATATCCCAGCTGAATTTTAAGGGACACTGTTCTGTTTTGGTTAAGGGAGACTACAGATACAACAAAGTAAAACCTATTAGAGTTAATTGCTTTATACTCTCTTTCACATCAGCTATGTTGAAACTAGAGGGAGCTCAAAATTACGAAAGCTCACACAGAACTTTCACAGTCTATAAGTCCTCTCTCCGTGCCCCACCTGCCCCATGCACAGTCATGATCTCTTCCCCACGGTCAGCACTCTCCTTTGTGCCATGTCCCTTTATCTCAGTTGGGATGCTAGGGCATTCAAGTCTCCCTTGTCCATTCATCACCAAAACTTTATCAGGCTCCTATTACGTGCAGGCGACATGCTACAGCCTGGAAACGCCAGAAAGAGAATGGAGGGACCCATCTTTTCCCACATACATATTAACAGTCTACAACTTGGGCAGATATGCCTGCTTAAAAGATGTTGAACTAGCCCAGGAATGGCAAATAAACCAGCCTAGAGAAACAGTTAGGGCAATAGAGTCAGCCTGTCGACACTCAAATCATGATTCCACCCAGTGTTTTTCTCCTTGAGCATATCATTATGTACTCTGTGCCAGTTTCTCCATCTTCAACATAATGATAGTTCCTAGCATATAAGGTTGTGTGAGGACTTTAAAAGAAAATGCATATTGATCATCTACAATTCCTGACACATGGTAAGTGCTCAGTAAATGTTGATGTGTCTTTCTTGCCAAGCTGATTAAGTTATACCTGGTGGGGTTATTTGGATGCAGTCATGATATAGAGTTGGGAGTAAATATCTATAAAAGGAGATGGAGACGAAGTGGGTTAGACAGAGAGAGCCGTCTCTGCCAACCCATCTAACAGCATTAGAGCACAGATTGCCTCTTAGAGGCATCCCGGGTTGAGAAGAAATGGCAGAGCCCTTATATCATAGCCCTGCCCAGAAAATGAAAGGGAGCCACCCAGAGAATCTCAGCTCAAAAGCTGAGACAGACCTTAAAGGACCAAACAATTGAAGGCCTTCACTAACTATACTCTTGACAGGTGGGCAGCAAGGCCTTTTTGGAAAGGAGACCTGAACAGTCACCTACATGCTGGCCACAGCAGGTATTGTCTGGGGTGCTGGCGCAGCAGGATCCTGACAAAGTGTTGGAATTCAATAGGCAAAGCCAAGTGGACACATCGTGATTAATTAAGATATCAGCCATGGGATTTAAGCAAGAAAGAGAGGCCTACCTTCCAGGAACTTGCCCTGCTCAAATAGATTGTAGCAAAAGGCTTCTCCACATCTGATAAAGTCAGTTCTTTATTCCTTCTTCAGTGGTTTCTCTCACACCCCAAGACTGGTAGGAGGTCCCTGCCCCCAAGGCCCTCTGCTCCCTAAACGTGAATTGTATATGTCATGCTTTTGGGGGGTGGGGGAGTGCTGCCAACTGTTCAAAAGCTCCAGATATACAGAATTGGGTGCACTGCTCAAGGCCCCACCCTCAGCTTTGGCTCTCTGAGTCCTTCCCAGAACCTCTTCCAAGGCCGAGTTTCTCAGTGCATTCTGGCTGCCAGTCCAGGTCTGGAAGGGTGACAGCTTGACTTAAAGCACCACTAATTATTTACACTCCAATATCTTCCAAAATGGATGGAAAGAACCTTCAAAATCAATACATCTAGGCTACTTCTAATAAAGGCTTTTATCTAAATTAATGATGTGCTAGTGAGGGAACTAACAAAATATAGACAGAAGACAACCGTGGGGAAAGGTTCTGTAGAAAAAAGGCCTGAATAAGAGGAAAGTGCTATCAGAGAACAAAATCAGTTGTCAGCGCAAACAGGTAATGGATCATTAAACACTACAATATTTTATTGTTTTGCAACTGTGCTTTCAGCAGGGGGATCTGTGATCTAGGAATAGGGCTCATTTTTTCCGTCCATTGTTTTTTCATTTTATGGGTAAGCACAGTGAGGATCTGGGCTGTAGCAGGTGTGAGTTCAGCACACCTGGCACAGAGCAGGCAGCTGATGGAAATGTCTAGTTCCAGCTCTCCTGTGGTGGCAGCCACCTGCAGTGAGGTAAATCTCCTAGGAACAAACTAAAAGTCTCCATTGCAGTTTTAAAGTCTAAAACCTCCGACCTCCAAGTGCACGAAGGAACTAAAACAACCTCTAATGTTGATACCTGAAGTCCAGATTTCAAATGTGTTTGAATTTTTTAAAAATATTGCTTCATGAGGCACAGTTGATGGTCGTGAACAATCCCAGAATGGAGCTGGTTTCTCAGTCCCATAAATGCATGCTGACTGTTCAAGAAATAACGAGACAAAGCAGTCCTCCATCCTTGAAGTTCATGAAGCAGATTATGTTTAAGACCAGGATCCCTCATGTCCTACAAATCAGTCACAATGTCTTCTCTGGTGAAATCCTCACTCTTCCCTTCACCTGTTACCCCTTCTTCCCCAAACATCAACTTCTCATTGTCTCTTGTGCCCTTTAGGATGCCTGTGGCTGATCCTCGTTCTCAACAGTGTGTAATAACAGCAGGGCTCAACAGAGACACCCATCAGAGCCCCTGGTTTGAGCTTCTTACCCTCAACTCACCTTGGAAATTATGACTGAAACTCACTTTAAAGGTCAAGAATGTAAGTAACCAAGAGGGGAACCTTGGGAAAGTTCCAACTAGATTGCTAATGAGATTACTCCAAAAAGCCACAGTCACGGCCAGGGGTGCCTTTCCTATTTCCAGGCAACAAAGCACCAGGGAATACTCCATGACTCATCCTAGCAGCTGCTTCGAGGGCACCTGAGCTCTGCAGGCTGAACAGGTGGTCTGTCTTCTCTCATTTGTTTGACAGAGTTTTTTGCATAGGCAAGTGCCAAAAGAAATTAAAATTATAGTTATAGACCTTAAGAACCTCTTAAAGAAACAGAGTTGGCCGTGGGCAAAATTTGATGTTAGGAAATTGGGCTTTTAAGGCCTTCCAACTTCATTTTTGACAGTCTTTTTGCTCTATCATGTTCTTGATCACCACACTTCATTTCCACTCTCTGGTCTCCCATTACATATATTCTTGTGTATTTAGAAAAACTCTGTGAACACCTGAGAAGACTGCTCTGAGTCTTGTTGGAACTAGTTGCTACTTTTTCTGTGATCTTATTGGAAGTTGCTGTAGCCCAGATCATATTGTATTATTGCCTATTACCCATGTATTTGTCCAACTTGATAGATAGTAAGATCCCTAAGGGCAGGGACCTAGTATTACCCATCTTATCCTCGCAGAGTAAGCTAGTTGAATTATAACTGATTTGCTCTGATACAAATGAGTACTTGTGGGGTCAATACACATGGCCCTTCCCCTCCCATGACTGAGGGCTAATCAGAAGGTCTCTGGCCAGAAGGAATGTGTATTATGTTGGCAACGGATCGTAACTTTGTCCTTATGTCTTTTTGGGAGCAGCTTCTGGTCCTGTGACTGTTCTTGACCTTTTCTTTCTGTACCATACACTGAGCTGAGGTAATGTGGTTTAGAGTCATGTGTAGGACATGTGCCTCCTTTGCCTGGGATCCCTCATAACGAGCCTCATACTGGAATCCACCCACGTCCATTAGTGCAATCCCCTGTAATGAGTAATAGATGGCACGTCCACATATCTGCTAGTCTTCTGGGCGGTTTTATTCAGAATATCATGAACACGTAAGCCTCTCCCCAGTTTGGAGCTCCTGCGTTTCAGTACTCTGCACTAAATAAATGGCCCAAGTCTTAAGTGTCAGCAGCCTAAGGCATGGATGCTGCAAGACACAAAGGGATAAAACCCAGCAGTTTTCGTGACGAGATGTGCACATTTAACCATGGTCCAAAGAATTCCAATGATTGTGTCCAGACTAAGTGGACAATACCTCAGAGGTAACATCAGCCATTAACTTAGGGCTGGATTCCCCTCAGTCCATCCTCCCTCAGACCTGTGTTCTGCAGAGGAAGAACCAAGGCCCTGCTCCCTAAAAGCCATAACTCAGAAAGGAACAGAACTGCTTCTTCAGGCCGTGTGCTTATACCAATAGAATGTTTTTTTAAACCAAGCTCTCACCAGTTTTAATAAAGAGAAATTTTGCATAACTTACTTTTCATCAGGCTGTTCTCACATGCCTCTAATGATATCAGAATCACCTGGATCAATGATAGCTAGTGTGCATACTCTGTAGTATTTTCCACACACTGTACCCAATACAGTATTATTGCCATTGTAGTGATGACCACCTGTCTTGACCAACATGGCACAGTACTCTATTTCAGATTTCCTCAGGGTTGGACAGCTGTTCGCAAGGATGACCAGTTTCACTTTGCCTTGTCTGACCATCTTTAGAGTCTGTTTGCACCCCAACCTGTACTTTCTACTCCTCATAACCAATTGATCAACTCCAGAAACTTATTTGTCTTCTCTGCAGCCACAATCTTCCTGCTTTACGTGCACGATGGTCCTCAACCCAGAGCAGCCACCAAGATGGCTGGGAGCCTTTCTCTCCTTCTACTTCCACTGTCATGTAGCCTTCCCTTTTATGTCCCTATTATAAAACTCTTGCCTCCCTTTATTAGGACCCTGGTAATTACGTTGGACCCATCCAGGTAATTCAGGATACTCTCCCCATCTCAATACCCTTAATCAAAACATCAGTGTCCCTTCTGTCCTGTAAGGTAATGCACCAAGCTAAGGGAATTAGGATGTAGACATTTTGGGGAGGGGGATGGTGGCATTATTAGCCTACTATGGTGACTATGCAGCCTCAGAGATCATTTCCAGCCCTGCCTCCATGGGGTTGCTTATTGCAGGCTCATGTAGAAGAAATAATGCCTCTTCCTGGGCACACAGGAAAACTGTTCCTCAAACCCTCAGTAGTTAGGTTGGGGCCAAGTGAAGGATTCAGATGAATGAGATGTGTCTGGAAGGGAGGTGAGCCCTATCTTCTCAACATGTGGTCTGCAGGATAGTGGCATCACCATCACATTGGAATTTCTTAGAAATGCAGAATCCCAGGCCCCACCTGTGACTTCCTGAGCCAAAATCCTCATTTTAACAAGATCCCAGGTGATTCTGGTGCACACTTAAGTTCAAGAAGCACTGATACCAGCCACTTCCAACACTGGCACTTAAAAGTACTGTGCAAAACCCAATCATTGAGTCTCTTCCCCTACAGTGACAACTTTAGAGCCAAGAATTCCAGGCAAGCAAAGCCACAACACAGAGGAAAACCAACCCACAAGGGACTGACAGAAGCAAAAAATAAACTTCTCATGTAAGGCACCAAGATATTGGAGATCACCTGATGTAGCAGCTTCAGTAAGACATTTATTTGAACTAGCTTGGGTAGATTTCTATTTCTCTCAACTACAAAAGCTTTGCCCACAATAGTGTTTCTCAAACAAGCATGATCAGAATCACCTGAGGGACTTTTTTTTTTTTAATTTAGTGATTCTTTATCTCAATACATTTTAACAAACAATATATACTATCTCCTCCTCTAAAAGCTCGTTAAAAAGAGCATAAGCAGATTCCTTTCCATGGTATTTTAGTTGGGGAGGTAATCACAAAAAGAAGGAATTTACTGAAGGGCTTCTTAAATCACATGCTGTTGGGCCCTACCCCCTGGAGTTTCTGATTTATAGGTCAAGAGTGACGGATAATACTTTGCATTTCTAACAAGTTCCCAGATACTGTTGGCCCTGAGACCACATCTGAGAACCATTCACTGTTAATTGCTGTTCATTGCTATACAGTTCAATTCACACAATAGGAGCCAGGAATCTGCAAACTGCAGCCCACAGGTCAAGTCGGACCTACTATCAGTTTTTACAAATAAAGTTTTACTAGAACTTTGGAACACAGACACACCTATTCATTTATGTATCATCTATAGTTGCATCTTCATGACAAGGGTAAATTTGCATCACTTCAATAGGTACAATATGGCCCACTGCTATAGACTGAACATTTGTAGATTAGGTTAGGGTTAATCCACTAAATTGGTTATCTGGCACTTACACTAGTCCCTGCAAAAATTTGTATGGTAAAACCTAATCTGCAATATGACAGTATAAGAAGGTGGGGCCTTTGGGAGGAGCTTAGATCATGAGGATGGAACCCTTATGAACAAGATTAGTGTTTTTATAAAAATGACCCCACAGAGCTCCCTTAACCCGCATCTTCCATGTGAGGACAATGAGAAGATGGTAATATATGAATTAAGAAGCAGGTCCTCACCACAACACCAAATCTGCCAATGCCTTGGTCCTGGACTTCTAGCCTCCCAAAACTGTGAGAAATAAGTTTCTGTTGTTTATAAGCTCCTCACTTGGTCATATTTTGTTATAGCAGCCTGAATGGACTAAAGCCACAAAACCTATAATATTTACTCTCTGTCTCTTTTCAGAAAAGTTTGCTAACCTCTGATACAGAAAGTTAAGTTTTACTAATATAATCCTAAGACTCCAGAATACTGATTTACTTGAGTACATTCATTGACTGTTCTCAGCCTCTACTATGCCTCCTTTCCACTTTGGCAACAACCACAAGAAAATTCTTTGAGCACTGGTATTTACTATTACACTATGTTCCTAATAAGAGCTATTTGTTATCAAGTATGAGTCTCTCCAATATGAAGCTGGAAAGGTTCCTGGGGAACAGTAAGGATTTTCAAAGAACTACTTGTTTGAAAGTTGGGGCTCTTTCAGTATCCCTGAGGAGTGCTGAGGCAGAAGTTCGCACAAATGAAAACCGGAAGTCACCAATGGTAGGAACACTCTCTAGATTATCTCATGACCTATCATCTCAAGTTACAAATCAAAATGGACTTTTATGTCTTCTATCATTCTAGGGTGAACTTAGTTTATTAAAATTAAGCTACCTGTCATCTCTCAAAATGGTACACAAGACTATAATATATAGTCTTTCCACTTACTTCAAAACCCTTATGATCAATTTTTTAAAAATCCTTAAGTGTGCCAACCCACACAAAAGCACTTTCTTTTAAACTATTCTTTCATGCTTGTACCTTTTAAAATAGTAATGTCTGCAAAAATGTCACATCAAAAGAAATTGTTCAGAGGTAGGAGTACTTAACTGAAACTACTTTTATTAGTACGTCGGAGGAAATTTGCTGGTTCGAAAATGGAAAAATGACTGATACTGAATAAAAACACTGTAAATGCCAAAAGGGAGATTTTGTGGGGGGGGGTATAAAAATCCCATCTCACATTTTAAAATCTAAATAAGAAGATTCTCTATTGTCTATAGTGGTTTCTTTTTGTTTTTAAAAATAATAACCCTTTCAGAGTTTCCCCAGAATTCTGATCCATGAACAAAGCTTAGGGTTAACACATTAGGTTGGTTAGCTGGTACTATCTGTCCCTTTTCAGAAAAGTTTGTTAACCTCTGACATAGACCACAATAGAGTTAAGTTTTACCAATATAATCCTGAGACTACTGAATACTATATGAAGTCACAGTCTCTACTACACAGTTGTCAACTATGTCAACCCCCCATGTGCTCCTTTAGAGTTACTCACACCAGAGCCCTTACTAGACATTACGCCCTCACTTTTCTCTGGGCTGTGCACTGACTCTTTCTCTGTGCCTGAAAAACCATCAGTCCACTGTTTTGACAAATCCCCATTCTGCTACCTTATAATTCATCTTATGTCTAGCTATTGATGACCCTTAGCCCCACCCTTTCCCACCATCTCAGGGAGAATCCTATTGCCCCCAAATGTCCCCAACACTTAGGAGGTCTGAAAAGAGATTCCATGTATGCCCACAAACCAGCCACCCAGTTTCAGTCTTTACCCGGTTTCATTCCGCCACGTCTTCTCTCACACTCTGGCTCTCCCTGTCCAGGCCCGGAGAGCAGAGCCCACTGCAGATGAGGCCAGACACATGCATGCCGAAGTTTCGGCCAGGGACGCTGCTGCTGAACCTGCCAGATGGGAAAGAGAGGGGTGCTGGCTTTCCTGCTCAAGTAGGAATATGTTCCTCTCCCTTCAACTCTAGGCCACATGTTGTCACTTGAACCCCAAAGAAAATGCTTCTTTCATTTTCCTGGAGCAGGTCCCCAAACAAGAACCCACACACCTTTCTCCAAAGCTGTCAACTACACAACAAAAATATGCAAGTTCTTCCTCCTCAGAATAGTCTAAAACTAGCCACTAAAAATATAATTCCCCAAATTCTCATTTTACCAACATGGCATATTCCTTCTAATCAGTTGTCCTGTCACACTTCCACAAACATGTTCATTTGATAAGAAATGTTCGGCTTTATGTAACCCCTTCTTCTATGGCCCACAGCATTGGACAGACATAAAGGTGAATGAATATATTATTAGAAATAAACATCTTATTAGTCCCTGAGGAATACTCATAGAGAGGCATCCAAATATCTCTTCCCTTACCCTGATCCCTTTTGATCCATACTGAATCAGCCTCAGAGGAGCATCTGGGAAGCTCTCTCCCAGATCTTCCTCTAGATTCTCTTGTTTCCACACTCCTGGCTGCCGGTTTTCATGTTCTCTCCAAAATCAAGGCCATATATACCTTTATTTCTGGCTTGTCCATGGTTGTAGAATGAAATACAGTTTTCAAACTCTTCATAGCTGAACATCTATAAGTCAACCTTTTCTTTTTGTCTTTAATAGCATCACATCGATGCATTATGCCAAAAGTCCCCTTTCCCACCACCAGCACCAAGAAGGAAAAAGAATGAAGACAGAAAAATGTTCATGTCACATATATGTCTGTCTAACTAAAAGGTTCTGCAAAAAAGATGATTAAAATCTCCATATTTTAGAAGATAAAAACATGCAGTTATAAAATGGTAATTTCCCCAGTTTTGATATTTCCACGATCTTAGTGCAAAGCTTTAATGTCAGGTGCATCCTAAGTTACCATAGGCATCCTCTGCCCTCCACAGATTCTATAAATAGTAGTTCTCCTAAGCATTTTACCTAAGAATCTGAGCTCTGCCCTGAGATAACTCTTTGACTACGTGTACCAGTTAAATCCACTCAGCTTCAAGCAATAAGGACCCAACATATCAGTGACTTAAACACAACAGAGATTTTTTTCCCTTTCAAACAAAATTCTAAAGTAACACAGTATGGTGCTGGACTGCCCATTCTGATGTGCAAGGCCCTCAGCAAAGCAGGTGCTTTCCAGGTCACTGCATCACCAACTTGAGAGCATAGCCTTCTCCGCTTACCCCCAAACAACCACAAGGAGCGAAATGACAAGGAGTGGAATGGCGGAAGGATAAAGAAGAAAAGGATAAAAGTTGCTTGTTGTCTGTCTCCTGAAGTTCCTAAAAGCTGTAACGCATTTTAATTACACCTTTTTGTTCAAATCATGGCCATTCCT